TTCAAGCACATTGTCCAAAATCCAAGCACTTTTCTAACCTTGAAAACACTATATTAAAAATCAAGCATTTTCCAGGATTTCCAGCACCCGTACGAACCCTGGGACCACTGGTCTAGAGGAAGGACACGCATCTCATTTCACTGCACTGCTCCCAGTAACTAGATGACCTGACCATGATGCACTCCTGCTTTGGTATCCACAGGGTTGAAACAGGCATACATAATGATCAAGTATGACCAGCTATGCACACACGCACCAATATACATACCTTGGAATGATAACTGCATCCTGGTAATCTTCCAATTTAAATGTGAATGGGTTCTGCTTTGTGTACTGGGTATTAGGAATGCCTATCCGAGCTTCCGATTTTTCAATACCTTCCATGAATTTAAAGTCCAAGTCTAAAGTGTTGCTGTCCTCAGCTGAAAATTCAAAATAAACAATTAATATTACCATGTAATTACCAAGCATTTGTTACACAACCCATATTACACAGTTTGTGATTCTGCAACAATGTTAAGTCAAATGTTAAATCAAAAAGCAACTCTGGGGAAGTGCTTCTTTTGTAGAAAGCACAAAGTGACAAAAGTTACATTAGAGGGGGAAATGGGACATAAATAAATAAAACACTGGGCACAGTGCTTTGACATTCCTGGAAGACCTGCATTGTTAAAATCAGTAATGACAGACATTGTATATACCAATAACTAACTTCCTATTAAGTTCCCATGTTCCGTGTCACAGAAATTAGGTTTTATTAACACTATTAATACTACACCGCACACATCGGTAACTGCACTACAAATCAGCATTCCTCAGTTTGCCTGTGTATTAAACACTACCCAGACAATTTGTTTCAGCTGTTTTGTTAACCAGATTCATTAACAGTTCAGCGCTGTGCTAAAATTAATGTTAAGACACTGTACCACTTTTTTAATTTTTTATTTGTTGCTTTAATATATAGCTTTATGAAGGAAGAAATGCAGTGGCAGGTATTGTATTTGTACAGAGCATAGTTAAAGCAAAAACAGGAGTGCCTGAATTATTTTCCATTTCAGTAACACCGGCACTGAAGCTTTTAAATTCTAAACTTTTTAGTAATTAGACAAAATTGCTGTCAGAACAACACTGTATTCCCTATACAGCCCCATTACCCCTCCCACCCATCTAATTCTTACTCCTCCCACACCACCCAACCACTACAATTTTGGGATGGATCAACAGGAAATGTGAAAGCCAACAAATGAGTCATTGGCATGACACTTATGTTTATTGCACATTCCAGTTTTCATAATCTTTTCCTACCAATTAGGTGGGAACTGTGTGTGTCATAATGTCATAAAATGCCATATTATTTATATTCTGTCAAAATATTTACGCTCTGTTTATTTCACATTTTCATTATGACCACACTAACCAGTTGCTGTAAATTTAGCTACAGTATTTTACTGTATTTTTGTAATACAGTAAAATACTGCACTTTTTACAGAAAGGCCGTAAACCTACAGCCGATCCATTGCAAATACAGCAATGTGCTGTATACTCAAAGCATTCTGGGATTGATTTTTCTTCGCGCTCAAGCTGACCGTCTAAACGTCTAATGTAACGGTAAGTTAAATTCGACGTAGTTTAACATACTCCCTTTTCGACCGATGTGCTTCTATGTTCTTTTTTCCGTTGGTTAACCGTGAAGCACTTGAATCTGACGTGGTGGAAAAAGTTGGCGGGCAGTCGCCAAAAAGTACCACCAAGAAAATATTACCTTCATTTGGACACGGTAAATTTTCTTTTCCAGTTTAAACAGTTTTATTATTTGGGGCATTTTGACGAGCATACGGTTATCGTTTGTTAGCCGTGCTAAACAAAAATGTTGCTATGCTAACATTTAGCCGGCTATGCTCTTCGAATAAATCTGTAGTTATCTTCACACAAGTATGTCGTCACACAAATTAATCTTGCATGTCTAGAATTCTGTCGTCAAGCGCTGTTACTTTCAGAGGGAAGACGCGACGTTAGAACATTTCATTAAACTTTAAAATCTAGGTAAGCTAAAGTTGTTGGTTTTTTTTTTGAGTAAATACCTTGATAATGACATAACTAGACATTTCGTTATTTCCTGCAATAGTTTAGAAAGAAAAATGCTGCATTGTCAGTTGTGTGATCGTGCATTTGAATCAGTACTAACGTTTTGTGTTAAGTGACATGTATTGTTTTTTTTCTTTTTTAGGACAGACTCTAAGCAACCAGAAGTGGATGCTAAGCATTGAAAGTCAGATTGTCTGTGAGGGAGTACAAGCCAGCTTTGCATCTGGACTCTCAGCTCTATTTACATCATATTACAACTTTAACCTCCAATATCAAGAAGAAGCCGCATGCACCCTTGAGTTTGTGCAAAGGTGAGAGAATTTAATGCATACACAAGTTACAGAAGGATACGGTACATTGTGTGTGCATTATTTTTTAAGTTTTTAAATGTTATTTTAAACTGTTTATTTTAAACTATACGTTTGTCTTTTTTTAACTTTAGGTGCTTCATCGACATCAACCCAGAACGAGGATCCAAAGCCAAGTAGGGAAAAGTGGTATCCAAAAAGACTGGCAAAGAAAGAACAATGCTGTGAATCCTCATGTTTCCTCACTGCTTCGAAAGTTGATGGACTTTGAATGGGATTTTGTGTAAGGCATATAAAGGACACAATTTTCTTTTTCCAGTTCAAGCTTAAAAGTGGTTGTTTTGTTGTATCATTTTGTTTAAGTTCTGAATCACTATACCATGCTAAGTGAAAGAAAAATAGATTGAAGGAT